TTTTTGATGTTTATCTTTAAAACAAAAGTGATGTTTATCTTTAAAAATCAACTTAAGTTATCAAATGAACTCAAAATTTTTTTAAATTTTTATGGTTAGTTGTTTGGATCATAAATAACACTGGAGATAAAAAATCAAGTAATTTAAATGTTTATATCTTTCAAAATTAATTATCTTAGTGATTTAGTGTTTATAAAAATTAGGTGCATTTTAAATGACTTGGCTCATGAGAAATTTTCCTAAGGGTTCTCTAGTCATAGTAAACCTTTCAAACCTTCAAAATTTTTCTTGAATTTCTCTAAGAGACATGCTATATTTCATGATTATTTTAGGCAAATAATGCACATAAACTTAAAAAAAATGATTCTTTATCTAGGGACCTCCTCTAACTTTAGAAAAATCAAAGAATGTTCAGAGGCTACAATATGCCAAAAATTCAAGCTATGGTGATAAGTCTACATGTATGGAGAATCAGAAGATTTAAATCAGTATTTAATTAATTAAAAATAAAATATTCATCAAATGGACTTCAAATTATTTTCACATTGTTGTCCTCTATTCACTTAGCAAGAGGGTATTTTTATTTTATTTTTTGTGATTTTTCTACACTAAGATATGAATTTTTGAAGTTAGGGGTATTTAAATAAATAGGAAAAATCCATATTTATCTATTTAAACAGCGCATGATGACTAGATCATAGGCAACTCCGAAGGCACGCGTGACACACTCTAGTTAGACGTCGCCATCTACGTAGCTGCTGACTCGGCCCGCGGTTTATGTTTCGAAGTGCTGTCCGACTTGATCTCCTCTGTCTATTCGATACACGCTTGATCAAACGGCTCGCCTCATCGTCCCCGATAGAGTGATCCTGTGACCGTCCACACTAAAACCCTAAGATCTCAGCCTAGACTCAACCAAATTACTTTGGGTTTGATCCTATGAACTCGTCTAAGTGAAACAAACACATCCATACGGTAATCATGCAATTAAATTAAGCCTAATCAAATGGAGAATCAAAATAGGCTTGGGAGGGGGAGAAGTTTTATACCTTTGCTCTGAGAAGTGAAGCTTCAATCAGAGGGTCTTGGCACGTTC